GCATCAATAAATCCCGTTTTCGACGGGCTTTCATCTGGTATAAAATTCATTACTTACCCTATTCGCAATTATAGCGTTACCGCCCTCGAAAAACATTTTTACGCACCCTGTACATCTATCACTTTGTACATTTGTCTAGTTTCATTTAAAACAACTCCGAGCTCTGTAGCTGCTACCTATCTGAGAAAACTTTCGCTCACTAGCAGGCCCATTTGCATCACGCGATACCGATAACTGGCGAATAACTCAGTATTTTCGACAGAAGCTTTAATCATTATCGTTTCATGTCATCAGCCAAAATTTCATGCAAATAGATTGCACAGTACAGACATTTTTTTCTTTGCGGGTTCTTCGTTACCAGTTTTAAAGTAAAGATATAAAATGAAATACCACAGATGTGTGTATCGTATGCTCTTTCATACTCAAAATTTATAGCGCTTGTAAGTAAAATAGTTGAGAACAATGCGATTTTACTTTCAATTCTCTGATGTGAAATGAATAGACCTTGAAATGGAAATGTCAAAGTGATAACATATCTATTCACTTCAAAACATTATTGTTAATATGCTGTATGATTGAAAAAATAAAATAAAATACTCGTTTTTTCAAAACACATTCAATATATTACATAGTTTTGACTGTTTATAGCAATCCAAATAGTGGGAAGTATATCTATATATACCCATGTAGAAACTGCAAAAGGTTTTTTGCGTTATTCATTTTCTTCATGCAAAAGAAATTTTTGGTTTTGGCAACATGGGTACTGTCTATCCTTAATTTTTCGTGTTTTAGTTTAGAATGCCGATTTCTCAAATAAACTATCAAAATTATTCTGTAAAGTTACAACTAGATTCAACATTTCTCATAATTACAGTTGAAAATGAGCAATCTAAATTTTATATAAAGATTGATAATAAACAATGCACAGTTGTTACCAATGGTCTCTGTGAAACGAGTGAACAATTGTATGAACTTCTGCACGATTTGTTAAATAAGAATGAACATCAAAAATTGTATCTTTTTCTAATCCATAAGAAACTAATCGAGTTACACGTAGACTTTACTATCTTTTTCGGAAATACTGTTCAACGAAAATGGAGCTTTGTCATTCATCTGAACCAACAAAATGGTGATGCTGCTGAGTCAACCAAAACCCTTGATCCTACTGACTGGGTACAAACACGGGTTCTCGGTCATCGAATGATGGACGATATGCTCAGTTATCTACAGAATATTCGAAGCCGACCTCCGTGGCAACCGATGCCACAAAATGTTAAAGACTATTTCAAACAAGATTTACCATATGATGAAAAATGTGCATTTGATGTTTATGACGATTTCAAAACAAACATTCTACCTTACCCTGTTGGTAATATTCATCCTCGATTCTTCGGTTATGTGCAAGGAGCAGGAACGGTAATAGGAGCTTTATCAGGTCTGCTGACAGCTACCATGAATACAATGTCGTGGGGTGGAGAACAAGCAAGTATTTATGCTGAAAAACAAGTATTGCAGTGGTTAAAAACTCTAATGGGTTTTCCGCAAGAATCAAGTGGAGTTTTGGTCAGTGGGACTTCGATAGCGACTTTAATAGCATTCACTCTTGTGCGTAAGAAATATACACCGGCTGAATTCGCTGAAACAGGTTTTAGCCAGTTGAATAATCCTTTGCGAATTTATTGTTCCTCTGAAGCTCATAACTGTCTGATACGTGCTGCTCAAATCTTAGGAATCGGGACACGAAATGTTGTTATCATTCCTGCGAATCAGAATCATCAGATAGACTTAGAAAAGCTCGAACAAGCTATTAGAAGTGATAAAGAGGCTGGAGCTATTCCTATGTGTGTTCTTGGAACAGCAGGCACTGTTGGAACAGGTAGCATTGATGATCTGAATGGTATTGCTGATTTGTGTGAGAAATACAGTCTCTGGTTTCATGTTGATGGCGCAATTGGAGCTGTGGCTCGATGTTCAAAACGACTTGCCCCACTAGTAGCTGGTATGGAAAGAGCGGATTCTTTAGCATTTGATCTTCACAAATTGTTTTCTATACCCTACGAGGCGGGTTGTATTTTGATTCGTGACGCGGCACTTCATACAGCAACGTTTGCAAATCCTGCTACTTATCTGACACTTCTTGACGGCGGTGTCACACCCGCACATGAAACATTTTTTAATGATTATGGAATTGAACTATCCCGTGATACAAAAGCAATAAAAGTGTGGATGTCACTGAAAGGATATGGCATTGAAAGATTCGCTCGAGTGATTGAACAGAGTGTTGATCATGCACAATATTTTGCTTCGAAAGTACGAGAATGTGATCAACTAGAACTGATAACTACCGGTTCATTCCAAATCGTCTGTTTCCGATTTGTTCTGCCTAATAAAACCGTGAACATCCTAAATAAACTTAACAAAAGACTTTTGGTTGCAATTCAAGAACGAGGTATAGCTGTTCCTTCACCCTATACTGTTGAGGACAAATTTGCCTTAAGAGTTTGCATAACCAATCATCGGACGACACGAGAGGATCTGGATTATTTTCTTGAGAATCTTTTAATCGTTGGAAACGAATTAGGAGCTCATATGTAAGTTATTTACGTCTTTTCTTTAAAATGTGCACTCTTTGTTCTTCTGCTGTTTTCGTATACACGCGCGTGTTTACTTATTAATTTTTTTTTCTTTTAAAAATATATTATTTATTAACGATGGAAGTTAAATGCATATGTGTACGATCGATGTGGTCAAACAGAAGAATGTTTCGTGTAATTTGAGTTTACTGCGACCTATTAATATTGATTAGTTACACTGACTATACATGTTGCATCGAGTAGTATGAATATTCTCAGAAACAACATACATCTGTTAGATCACCATACAGATCCTTCACGTATTCTTGGCATCAAGCGCTTCAGAAAGTTGGTAAGAAAAAAATTGGTCGAATCAAACTTGATTAAGTTTTTATTGCATCTGATATAGATCGTATTTTTCAATCTTTCTCTCTCAGTTTCACAATTCTTCACGACTATTATATATAATTCGAAAGCACTTTTTCTTCGCTATATGTCTGTATCTCACATATACAGAAGTAGTCGTTCTCAGACCAAGTATGTTTAGAAATACTTCTGGCTATGGAAAATGATCTCCTACGTGAAAAAAGTCTCAGATATTCTATGTCAACATTTCTCATCCGGCTACTACAATAAATATATCACTCGATACAGAATTTGCCCAGCTATAATTTGATACATATAATACAGCGAAAAAGGTGTCCTAGGGCACATTGACATTAGAAAAGTTTTTGCAAAGCTTGAATTCTGCTCGTAATTCTCGATTTGCTCCATCCGAACTCAACTTTTATGCAATAAAAATATCATACTCGGAATTAGCATCAAACACTGAGTCGGCTGATGTGTATTCCTATCCTAACCGGCTACTTTAGTTTGGTCGAATTTTCACATTGAAAAATTACCGAGATTTACACCAACATATGAAAATGTTGATCGAAAGCCATAATATTTTACGAATTTTTTCAAGAATTTGTAATAATTTCGTATAATTGCTGTCTTTGTGATAAGTTTGTCTCCAAGATGGATCGTTGTTAATGCGTTCAGTCACAACATTCCTGATCCGTTTGCAGGTCATCCATCCGCAACCGATCAACAAAGAAAACTAGACAAAAATGAATTACTGAGCCACTTTTTTTTTCCCTTTACCATCTGTGTTTCTATCCCTTCTTCGTATTTTTCTCCATAGTTGCACATGTGATATTTGTACCGGTCAATTTTGATGTGATTTCAATTTATTTGTTCCTACAATGTGTTTAGCAGCTTTTTCTTTGATTTAATATAAATGTTTCATCTTATTCTACTGTAACTGAGTCATTTTTATTTTATCTTAATCCGTTAAAATTTTTAATCTCTTGTTTGCTTATTTAATTTTTTCACATGTTAAAATAAAATGTTTTTCGTGGTAGCCTACTTTTATAGGACATCTCGGCGTATCTAATGCATCCTCAATGCCTTAAGGACATAGGGATGTCTTGCTATACGCACCAAAAATGCATTTGATTTACACGGGAAGAGATATCCAAAATGCCTTGACTAAACATCCACGATGTCTCACGAAGATACTACACGTAGCAGACCAAGCAACACCCAACGGAGGGATTTTATTTTATTCATTTATCTACCTCGTAGACCAGTAGCATTGAAGGACAAGTCCTCTACTATCTGGTATTGTAATGAATACTAATATCTGTGAAATTATTAAAATTACGCGTCTCTCATTTACTTTGTCCGAAATGGAACTAATTTCTCTCATTAGTAATTATTTAATGAACTCGGAAAAGTTTCTAAATTTTTTCAAGCTTTTGATACAGAATTCCGAAGATACGTTAGACTCGGAACTTTAGTAAATCTTAATAAAGATTAGTTAATGTATCTGAACTTGATGTTCTTAAAAATGTTTTGGTCAAGAAGCAGAATCCTTGAAGAACTTGTGCAGATTTTCTCTTTCTATGAGGCATGGGGAGTAAGAATAATTTCTTCCGGAAAAGGTTTCGGATTGCTTTTACTAAAACACCAAAATGATTGGCACAAAAAAAGATTGTAGATTTTCTCCCTGTGAAGCTTACAACTAAATATACAATCACTGTAAATTTAGTTCAATAACAGTAAATGGCCTATTTAAAGTCACACGAAGTGTAGTCAAGCTAACATGGATATGTTAAGGCTGATGATATTGACAAATAATGTATTAATGAATGTTCAAAACCCGGTCAGACACTGTTTCCTGAGCATTTAGATACCTATACTACCATTTTCGACCATAGCGAGTTAGAACCACGTGCTTTATTTTCATATTCTAACTTTAATAATAAAATTTACAATGTCATAGAGATGAAAGAGGAAGAAGGACAGAGTGACAGAAAAAAATCATAATTTAAAACACACGGTGGTACTCTCTGTCACTAAACATTAATTTTTGTTCCATGAAAATTCAACTATTTTAAATTTTAAAGACGATATTCATGACCAGAGTAAAATTCTGCATCTAATCCATGCTGTTTCAAAAGAGCCCACAGAAAAATTTTTCTTAAAACTGCTAGAGAAGGCTCCAGCCTTCAGAAAATCTAATAAAAAATAGTGGAAAATGATTCTAGTAACTCCCTAAGATGTTTTTAGCGCGATACAAACCGGTCTTATCTGCTCACGTCCTTTCTAGCATTCTGTTAGCAGATCTAAAGCGGCTTAGAATTTAAGAATGATTTTTTTTCTTCATTTATACTGGAGAGAATGAAGAAAAGTAAGCATCAACATTTGTTTACAATTGATATCAACATCTTGATTTGAATGTAGGTACTGATGATTTTAGTCTGATGAACAACAGGATAAAATAGACAATCTATGGACAAAGATGATGGTTTCAAAGTCTCGGTACACTTCAGCCAAGAAAATTTATGATTCTGTTCAATGCTTTTGTTCTGTGTCATACAAATATTTTTCGTAGTTTTAGAAGAATTGAAATATCCCAGTTTGTATCCTGTAAACACCTATACAATGTAAGGCTATAGCCAATAATAATAATAATTTTATAAATAAATAGAAAAAATTTTCAAAAAATTTGCATCTCCACTGATTTGAACAGTTTTTCTCGAGAGTATCACATCTCTGTTGCAGTACCAGCCAATAAAAGCGTCGCAACAAGTCCTGTGTATTGCGGCACATGCAACACTTTTTTTAATGTGTGTAGAACGAATAGTTAAACAAGGGTGAGACGCTAAGTGAGAAACAAGACAAGATGGTACCATCTAGTCATCAGAGTCCTGCACAACATCAGTGTTATACATCATTCGATGCAGTTTTGTTCGTGAAAATCAATCCCAATTCCTTTTTGAAATCTAACAAAAATAGCACGTGAACGAGTTAAACCTTTTGTCTAGAAGTTCATTAATGCTGAATTATCAATTTCACGTCAAGTAATAGGATAAAACATTTAGAAAAGAAATACTAGCAGTGTCGTAAGCAAGAGGGGAAAAGCACTTTTTTAGTATGGCACCTTTTCGGCACTCAAAACTACCGCTTTCGTCTATCAGCAACGTTCTCGCTTCGTAAAATTCAAGATGGCGGATGAGTAAAGGAGTCAAATCCGATCACGAACTTTTTTTGGGATTATTTTGCTTTCATTTAAATCAAAAATAAAATTATTATCTTCTTAGCAGTATGATGCAGATGCAGTCAAACCTCCTTCTCCAAGTTTATTCGTAGACAAATGGATACAATGTGTGATTCGATTCCACTACCTTAGGCTTTATAAGGCAGTACCTTACGGCACCTTTCAACACTCTAATTGGCATTAGATGCTGTTTTTTCCCCCTTCATCATCAGTCCAAAGTGTTGAAAAAACGCATGTTAGAAGAATTTAATTTTGTTAGTTTTTCCGCATATTGAGTACACTTTTCTCAATGATTTTGTATAGCAAATATTTCTTATAAGATATGAATAGATCGTTGAAATTTGTACGCTCCCTTCATACTGGTCATCAAGTCGATTAGAAATATTGATCAAATACTGTGATCTTACCAACTTCTAGTGACAATTTAATAGTCAAATTCACACTACACCAAGGTCAACTTTGATAGTTTTTTTAGCTTTGTTCATGTGTACTTTCAAACTGAGTATCAAAGCTCCTCTTGGATTCGGCTTAAACAAGATTTTAGAATAAACTGGAATGAAGAAAATGGTAGAAATAGTGCTGCTTTTATATTGTAACAGGCAACAGCATCTTTGAAGTTCACCTAGAGGCATAGACGAATACATGTGTATTGATGTATTTTTTTTGAATGCATGCGGCTCTATCCGAATCATCTTAATAAAAATATAAGTCAAGATTGTGAACTATTAATAGATCATTAATTGATGCTTAAAAACGGACAGTTAACAGTCACGATCGTATGCTTTTAACTATCATTGAGTAATTTAAAGATGTTCTATCATATAAATCGACTATAATGATTTTATTCTCCTAGATGACTAGTTGTGATTTCAGAGTCTCTGTCTTGTATTCAACTTTTCCAACAAAATTTTGAACGATTTCTAAGACCAATATCTGTCCGAAAAGTTTAGATCATAAACTTTCACTTTTCCAGTTCATAGACTTGAACAACATTTTTAAATGAACATAATTTCGACTAATCTCAATTTTATTGAACGTTGAACATTTATGAAAAACAAAACAAAAATCAATTAAATTAAACAATCGTCTATGTTTTATTACCTCAAAACGAATGACCAAAAGGAATGATCAATAATGGGATGAAAAATACTCTTTTTTAGATTCAAAGAAAACATAAAACACAATAAAAAGTACATTTACATCAATGGCAAGTAGGTGTTTTGAATATGTGATAAGCAATGACTATGATTAAATATACATTAGACACACAAGTAGCATAAACAAAAAAAGTAGTTTCATGAAGGTGAACAACATACTAAAAACATCATCATTTAATCTTGACACACCACGCATCCTTGCTATGACAAAACGTCAAAAAAGAAACAAAAAAAAGAAATAAGAGAGATTAAGGAAAA